CCCTAAAATACTTACTATTTCAGTACTTGTTCTCTTCATTTATATATTTCATAAATAACGATTATATATCGTGAAACATCATCATTAACTTTTTTCTTAGAATTTCATTAAAAGAATAAAAAAATAAATAGAAATAAATACAACAATTATTTATTTTCCTGCTCAATTCTATAAAAGCTCTTATCAAACACACATATGTAATCAGTCTATGTGTAAAACTTTGTTACAAATATAATGTTGTATACAAAAAAATATATCTAATATTTTGCAATATGAGTATTTCTATAAATTAGTTCTCACTGAATTTACTACATTGTTGTAATATAAAATTCTAAAATTTATTATTCAGTAACATATACAGTTAACATTTTGGTTGCACACATATTTATGTAATATGAAAAACATAAGTATCGCATATGTGTTTATCATATAAGTATTATTCATGAAAGCAAGCATAATATTGTATATAATAAATTAATGTAACTTTGTGTTTTTAAGCTGAAAACAACATTTTACGTATCATTAAACATAAATAAATTAAATTAAGTTAGGTTCAAGCAGTTTTACCTATGAACACATGAAAATTGTAAACTTATATATGTTAAATTTCATGTATGGCAATCATTATTATAAAAAATTACATACGGTACATTCTTTATTAACATCTTAAACTTAAAATATTCAATGTTTCACATAAGAGTTGTTATTATACTCATTCTTTGTTATTAATTTGATTCTTATGTTGTATTAAATGAATATATACATGCATATATACAAATAAATATTTTAAATAATATTATTTGTTGAAAATTGGTACATATATTCAATATATAGGGATATAAATATATATTTTTCACGATAATAAATATATTAATATATTTAATATAAAACTTACATTGTTACTGATGCATTTTTGATAAAATATAAGAACAGTTATTTTTATTTCTTATACATTTAAATTATACAATTCATGAATTCTGTTGTTACACTACAGATCTTGTAAATACTATTGTATTAATTGATCTTGTAATTGAGTACAAAATATTTTAGTATTTATCAAATAGTATTTATCAAAGTATTTATATGTGCTTAAAGCACTCTTTCTTTCAAGTTGTTCATGCAAACATTTTTTAATTAAAGTAATTTAAATGTTTTCAAAAACATTTTAACAATCCATTATTTCTGATTTCAATTTAATTGTCTTTCATCAATCTGATGACTTAAATGTTTCTATAATTCTGGTTTGGATTTAAGTGTTTTATATCACTTTGTTGATTATGAACACATTAGGCATTACAACATACAACACTTCTTTTTATTTTTTTTGTAATTTAATTCTAATGGTGGTCTTTCAGATAACTGAAATTTTCTAACAATTCTTACTAACTCATGAAAGGCTTGATCAACGTTCATTTTTAATTTTGCACTGCATTCAATATAAGGAATTTTTAATCGACGAGCTCTATTTTGTGCCTCTTCAATCTCGACCTAAAATAAACAATTAAAATTAATACTTTAATTAATGTAGTATTCTTTATTTTAAAATATAACCTTTACATTAGTTTTGATGTTTTTTGTTTTATTTACTTACAACTCTGTGATAATCCAAATCTGCTTTGTTTCCAACCATAAGCATGGGAAATTCTTCTCGATCTTTTACTCTAAGAATCTGCTTATGAAATTTTGATATTTCATCAAAAGATGAAACATCTGTTATTGAAAACACAAGGAGGAAACCTTCACCACTTCTCATATATTGTTCTCGCATTGCACTAAATTCTTCTTGACCTGCTGTATCTAATACTACAAAATTATATAAATATTATTGGTTTTATATCCTATATGTATTACACTCTTACTTAAAATTTATATAAATTGACCTTTCTAATTTTTTCATTAAATATTGATTCTAAGATTGAATAAAGAAAGAATTATAGTCTTACAATAACAAACCCATGGTTCATTATGGAACTGCATGAAAATTAACATAAAATATAATAAGTTACAAAAGTTATTATAGCTGTACAAATAAGTTTGAAATGATAGTTAGTGCATAACATAACACTTTTATTAATTTACTTACTGTCAAGTTTTGCAGGTATGTCATCAATAACACATTGTTTGGTATAAGAATCTTCAATAGTTGGATCATAATCAGTCACAAAATAACTCTGCAAAGTATT